TTCAGTGTCACCTATCAATGCCAGTCAGTGCCACCTATCAGTGTGCATCAGTGCAATATTTGAGTGCTGCCTTTCAATGCCCATCACTACAGACTCATTAGCGCACATCAGTGAAGGAGAAAAATCACTTAACAAAATTGTATACCAAAAAAAAAAAAAATCTTCAAAATTCAGTGGTTTAAGAAAAAATAAAAACCCACAGGTGATTAAATACCACCAAAATAAAGCTGTCACAAAAAAAAAAAAAAAGATAAATGTCATATGGGTACAGTGTTGCATGACCACATAATTGTCAAAGTGTGACAGCACTGAAAGCTGGAAATTGGCCTGGGCAGGAAGGGGGTATAAGTGCCCTGTAGGGTTGTGGTTAATAATGGCATGCAAGATAACATTTTTCCCCGGTACAAATTAGTAATACCTCATCTGGAATATGCAGTTCAGTTTTGGGCACCAATTCACAAAAAGAACATTGGGGAACTGGGAGAAAGTACAGAGAAGTGCAACCACACTGATAAGAGGCATGGAGATCAGCTATGAGGAAAGATTAGAGGAACTGAATTTATTCTCAAGAAATTAAGGTAGGATATGATCAACTTATAAATAAATCAGTGGTTCATATAGTAAACTCTGTGATGACCTCAGGGTGAAGAACTCTACACAGTGGACAAGGGGGCACTCTTGAGATTCAATTTCTTTTCTTCCAGATGCAAACATGGAAAGGTTTCTTCAGTGAGAGCTGTGAAGATGTGGAATAGACTCCCTCAAGAGTTGGTTCTGGTCAGCTCAGTGGATTGCTTTAAAAAAAAGTCCTGGATTCTTTCTTGGATACACAGAATATAACTGGATACTAACATTTATAGGTAAAGTTGATCCAGGGAATAGCAGATTGCCTCTCAGGGGATCAGGAAGCATTCCCCCCCCCCCACCAGAGCAAAATTGATCATGCTTTACTGGATTGTGTTTTTTTTTTTGCCTTCCTCTGGAAAAACTGTGGGTATAGGATTATAAACTTTTAATGGATGGACTTTCGTCTTTCAACCATCCTTGGGTCCTCTTCATTCCAGCTTTTTCCAGGCCAGCCTATTAGGGTCAATATCAGGGAAAGATATGGAGCCTGGCATGTGATGACTATATATAATCAGTGGTCCTACACATAACATAGTTGCAGAAAAGTCTAGCTTAAGCAGGCTGCTTGCTTGAAAGAGCTAGAATTGATGTAGAGACTGGTGTTAGGCACTCTGCGACAGTTGTGTTGGCCCTCAGTGCAGCACATTTGCCTGACCTTTTACGATGACTCCCTTGCACCTGCTTGCTACCATTAGTAGGGGTGAGGGTATTCCCTTGTGGAATGGAATAAACCATGGAAAACCACAAGGAAGCACCTTGGTAACTAAGGGTTCAGGGAGGAAATTGCAAAGTATGCAAGCTGTGGTGTGATGCAACACCTGCTCATCCACTCCTCAGTGAGCTGAGTGGTTGAATTTTTTCACCAAGTTACATTGTAAACCCAAATTCCAACACCCTCAGTTTCCCTGATAAAAATAAACACAACAACTATTCAAGAAACAGTGCAATGGGGATGATAGAAACTGTCATACAAGGTGACCCCCATCTTACCTGTCCATGACCCCCAATCAGGGGTCTGGGCTCTGTCCATCACTGATCATACCTCAGAAGGGGTCTTCAGGATTGTGTTCTATAAGGATGACCCTAGATATGTTCTAGCAGTCTATGGTTAACTACATGCATTGCACCCATGCCAAGGTGGGCATCTATAGCAACATTACAGGCTGCCCCACCTCATGGGGTATGCATACATTTCCAAGGTTGCACCACTTCTATTGAAGTGTTAACTAGTTTGACATTTTCAAACTCCTCACTGTCTAAGAGGGATTTCTCCAATAGAACTATTACCTTGGAACATCAGCAAATGGACTGAGAAGTAGGAGCATGGAGGCATGGCCTTCAAAGCTTTGCCAGTGTTCAATTACCTGAAGGTACCAGCCTATATCCCAAGTGTCTATATAGAGCCACTGTCTTGTATAATTAAGTTGGGTTGTAGATACACTACAGTCATGCATTTCTGAACAAAACTCCACAATCATATTGAGGCCCATTTTTGGGTCTATAAATGCAGTTGTGCCTTATAGGACAGCCTAGAACAGAATATACAAATTTAGCCAAGTGAGCCAACAAGATATCCACACATTGCAGCACTAACAGAGCGCCATCTATGCCTTTCTGGAGGGAAAGGCATTTCTGATGGTGTGCAGAAATGCAGTCTTACAGAAGTGGGCCTTTATCTGAGATCACATCCATGTACTGGTGTGTTGAGAGTGCACTGCACAGCATATGCCCAGCAGAGACTGGGTTCTAACCAGGCGCTCTGGGTCTCCTAAGAACCGGGACCAGAACTACACATTCCAAGTCACCTAAATCGCCTCCAATTAGCAGATCAGTTTTCAGTCACTGTGAAACCTGCCCATGTCTTTTGAATGGAGAGAGATGCAGTGTGAAAAAAAATTAATTGCTAGATCAAACCTCGCACTAGGTCAGTGAGCATTAAGGGCACGGGTTTAAAAAAAAAGTCAAATGTTTCAAAAATAAAATCCGTATTAAGAAAAAAAAAACCCCACTCATTTCTAGGCCAAACAGGTACAACATTCGTATGTGGCATCACTGCAATCGACAGGAGTAGGAGAATTTTTTGGGTTGTTTGGTTGTAAAATTATGGTAAATAGAAGGAATTAAGGCTTTGTTAACCATTTTAAGCCAGTTTTAGTAAAAGAAAACCTCATTTGTTCTGAAGATAAGGTATAAGCCACCTGGATACACAAGTAGCTGTGATTTGTAGTTTTACTAAACTGTCACAATGGTGTTCAAGCATTGTTTGTTTTACCCTCAAGTCACAAGGGGTTAAATTAGTATGTTTGCATCCAACACTAAAGATACAGCATGACATAACAGATCATATTTAGTGTAGACCGCAGTCAGTTTATCCAATAGCTTAACAGACATGCCAGATACAGACTATAGGCACAACTGTGCAAGTACAGCTTTTATTAAATTATCCATACTAAACTATATCACAGGATTTACCTTTAGGGTGTGTTCACAGGGTATTGGATGCAGGACACCTTTTGTTAGGGTGGCAGCTGTTGCCGGATGGATTATTCTCCCAGGGGGCAAGCAATAGGCAGCCACAGCATTAAGATCACCACACCCCCAATAGACTTTCCATTCAATCCTCAAGGCTGAATGAAAAAACATATCCAACTAATATGAACAGACAAATCACATGCCAGGCTTTTTTCCTGACAGCTGTGAGTGTCAACTGTCAGAATACCCAAAACATGCCTGCAGTTGGGGTTGGACTTTTTGCAGGCAAATTTGGCTGACAATTTTCCACCCCAACTACTTTGACAAAGATGATTGAGTAATTCACTTATTCCAGCATTTTAGAAGAATGGGGTTACATTCTAAGTGTATGGACAGCTTTAGTAACAACCTAAACCATGTGGTGTGAACAAGGCACTAAGAAAATAAATTCTGTGCCCTTGCATTAAGCCTGCATTTATTAATGAAGTTCAACTTACAGTGTGTAGAAAGCCTTGACGGCTTTCATACACACATTGGGGATCAAAACTTTGTAAACCTAAGCAGAAGTATACTCTCAGTTCCAGCAAAGCCAAGCATGTCTCCTCTGCATTACAATTCCTGCCTGTCCACCCACTTGTGTTTTACCTAAACCTACCTATAACTTAGCCACCTGGGAGTCTGTTGTGTGCAGCCATCTGTGCCAATTACAGGATACACAGCTCCAAGCATAAACATTTGTGAAAAATTTACAGGGCTTTCCTTCAAAATAGGTGCAGAACTCAACCATGTCCCCTGCCCCTGGATGGTGAGTGTGGCCAAATTGCACCAACAGTGGGAGGGTCCAAAATGAGCAATAAAAACCAGGAGTGCACCATGTGCAGGGCTCAGGGGTGTGCTCCATACAGTGCAGGGCTTGGAGGTGCGCTATGTACAGAGTGCAAGGTTCAGGGACACACCATGTACAGTTCTGGATTGTGCTCGAGTGCAGGAAAAGGAGGGATCTGTGCAAACCGCTAGGTGAGCAGGGAGAAGAGCTGGAGGAACATTTGACTGAAAAGCCCTGCATGTTTAAGCTTGGAGCTGGCTATACTGGCATCTCTTCATTTGTACAGGCTACTGTATGCAAAACCTATGGCCCCTGGGCACAGAAGAAATTTATTTTGGCTTCTTTGCATGCCAGTAGCAGCTCATGCACATGGCATATTGAGGCAAACTATCCATGGCCCAAGTGTGTGGACATTTTCATGTTTTCTGACACCTGACAGGATCAGATTTACCTGCTCAGTGCCTCCTTTCAATAAATGTGCAATATGTAAGTGCACTGTGTAAACTGTCAATGCTATACAAGTCCTTTAAGGGCAGCTTTCACAGTTAATACAAGTGTGTCAGGTGACTGCATTATTTCTTCCACCAATAGGAGTTGGCACTCCAAGTGCCAGCATGTACTGCTGCATTCTGATTATTGCCTTATGGCTCCTGGCATTGGGAGCCTTTATCACATACAAACAGCAAAATGATACAGGTAGCAATTTCCTAAGGAGTACAGACAACACAGGTCTCAGAATTACAAGGAGAAGTTTGTGGAGGTTTATTTGCTACAAATGGCACCATCAGGTTACGATGACACAAGGTGCAGTAAACCAAGTCCAGCATTCTACAAGTGACAACTGATCTGCCTCCATTCTGCAGTTGTGCATGGTGTTCAAGTGTAAAACCAGCATTAGAAGGGTTAAAAAGTTTGTTCCAGCCACACCAAGGTGACTTCCTATATTGAACGGTTAAAAATGAGGTAAGAACTGTCTGGCAGTTGAACTAGTGCACACTTCATTTCTTCCCCAGGGCTTTATCAAGGTTGTTCTTAATGGCGTCCAAGAAGTCTGTTGTATTTACATAATGTTCATTCAGTCGGACGCTGGGGAGAGAAATACAATGTTACAACCCTCAGTACAAATTGGCGACATGTTGCTAAAATAGTCAATAACTGGTACATACTTGCTGAAACCTCCGTGGATGCATCCGGCCAAATCCTTTGTCATTGCACCACTCTCCACTGTCTCCACACAAACCTTCTCCAGTTTCAAGGAGAAGCTGAATATAAAAAAAAAAAAAAAAAAAAAAAAAAAAAAAAAACACAAGCATCGTTCAATTAGATATCTGCAGAACCACACTTCATGTGAGTGAACGTACAGTGCCTTGAAAAAGTATTCATACCCATTGAAATTTTCCACTTTGTCATGTTACAACCAAAAACAAATTTATTTTATTTGGATTTTACATGATAGACCAACACAAAATGGCACAAAAATTGTGAAATGAAAGGAAAGTTAGAAATTGTTTAAAATTTTTTTTTTTTTTTTTTATCCCAACCTGTCTGGTGTGTTCCTTGGCCTTCATGATGCTGTTTGTTCATTAATGTTCTCTAACAAACCTCTGAGGGCTTCACAGAACAGCTGTATTTATACAGAGATTAAATTATACACAGGTGGACTCCATTTACTAATGAGGCGACTTTTGAAGGCAATTGGTTCCACTAGATTTTAGTTCTGGGTATCAGAGTAAAGGGGCTGAATACAAAAATGCATGCCACAATTCAAATATTTTTAAAATTTTGAAAACCATAATCCTTTTTCCATCCACTTCACAATTCTGTGCCACTGTTGATCCATCACAAAATCCCAATAAACTACATGTTTTTGGTTGTAACATGACAATGTGAAAAATTAAGGGGTATGAATACTTTCAAGGCACTGTACCACAAACTAGTCAAAGTGAAAGCCATTAAGAATTTGGGGACACATTCTCACACCACATATGATGCAGATTTGAAAACCCAATGAGCCAGAATTTATTGTTGTGATAAGTACAAGCTTGGACAACAAACCTAGTTTAGGTAATAAAAAAACAAAAAACTTTATATATGGGCTAATAAGAAACCGAGAAATATGAAGTTCTGTGTAATAAAGAGAAAGGGGGACTAAATCTGCCCAAAATTAGGAATTATTATATAGCGGTGATACTGTCACAAGTTGTGGATTGGATATAATTCACAAGGGAAAAGTTGGGTTAAAAGAAGGCATTTTGAGTAATACATGATTGGAGAAGATTTGGATACCACGAACGTTTCGTACTATGGATGAGATTAGTAGCACATTGACACAGGTGTTAAAAGTATGGGATGGAATGCACAAGCAAACGGGTTGGAAGTATAATTCACTGTTGATGCCCCTGGTGGGTACGGAGTTTCTTCCGCCAGGGAAAGACAACATTCAGGGAAATGGATATAGTAGTTAAGGGGAAGTTGTGCACTTTTCAGGATTTAAAGAGTTTTGTCATATTAAATTGACAATATCTCAGTTCATCCAAGACTTTTTTTCAAAGTTGCCTCAACCACTGAGGATGCCTGAGGACATGCTCCCATTTGAAAAAAACGTTAGTTGTGATATAGCTCCAAAACATGTTACTTCAAGGATATCTAAAATTCTTATTGAATTGAAGGGAGCAGATCCTCAGTCGTTCTTAGAAATGGGAAAGGGAACAAAAATGAGTGAACAGAAAAATAAAATGTTTAAATGAACACATGGGGTGATGAACATGAACACAGTTGAAATGAATAAAATGTTTAACGAGATGGTATTTGACACCAAGGGGTTTATTTACTAAACCTGGTTGACTCAGAATCTTGGGCACCTGTGCATGGTAGCCAATCAGCTTCTAACCTCAGCATGTTCAGTTAAGCTTCAGCAATAAAACCTGGAAGCGGATTGGTTTTTATGCAGAAGTGGACAAGATTCTGAGTCAACCAGGTTTAGTAAATAAACCCCCAAGTGTTGCACATAAACAGTAGAAATCTCACTGTTGGAGGGGATATGGAATTAAGGGAACAAATAACATGGTGGGATTGTCCAAAAATACAGGGGTTTTGGCAACATATAATCCAATTTATACAAGAGATATTGGGGAGCACTATACAGAACAATCTCTGGGTGTGTCTTTTGCAGGTCAGATAGATGGTATAATGCACTATTTTTATAGTGTTTCACTGATATAATTAGTGCAGTTAAGGGACTTCTTGCCAAATTCTGGCAGGTAAGAAGTCTCCAATGAGAGACTGGATAGACAGGGTTGAATATAATAAGATGGAGTTATACCGTATAGATGAAGATAAAATGGGAAAATTTAGAAAGTAATGGGGTAGATGGCATGACCTCAAGACATCTAAAAAATATGTAAATAGTGGGAGTCCCAGGTGGTCGGAGGCAGGAGAATTAAAAATGGAACATCTGGAGGGCTGCAGCAATAGGAAAAAGGGAAAAGAAAGGTTGGAGAGAAAGAATGGAAAGAGTAAGCGTAGGAAAAGATGATCAAAGAGAAGGGACATGGACTGGAATGATGGAAAGACAGGAAGAGTTATATGGACTGAAATAGCTTGATACGTGGGGGGGGGGGGGGGGGGGGGGGACTGGGTTAAAAAATTCAAGTGAAATGTTTGTATTTTGGATGAATGATAAATTGTTTTGTAATGAAAAATTTGAAAGAAAAAAAAAAAAAAGCCACTTTTGGCAGAACACTTGACCTGCATTAACATCTAATCGCACTTAAACACTAGACATGTTTAGCAATTCAGCATTCATTCCATTGCCATAATATTCTGGCCAATAGAAACCATATACACTCAAAATGCTTGATGCACCTAAATGCATGTCCAATACAGCAGCTTTTTCCTGCAGGGAGTAAAATGTGTTCAAGAGAAATGTAAACACCCTTTGTACATGAGGTCTTATTGCTGAATCAGAAGAGCCATAGCTGAAAACCAAAGTCATTCTGATTCGTGAAAGGTGTTGTAGTTAACTGAGAAAGCTTACTCAATAAGGTCCTTGTTTCCATCAAGTTTTCCTCTGTGCTCCAAGCCTCGTGTCCATGCAAAGATGCTGGCAATTGGATTTGTGCTTGTGGGACGACCCTTTGTAATGAGAAAGCAGGAGCAATGTTAAGATGATTACCAAGACTACTTGATAGCAAACACTGCAGTCTTCCATGTATTGGCTATGCTTCAAATCACTGATCTGCATATACCATGTCTTCCTTTTCCAGACATGAAGTTATCCAATCAGTATAGTAGATTACTACAACCAAATCTAGTAAAGTCAATTTAGAAGCCATTTGATTTTACATAAGCAGGACCAGCGCCTATATATGCATTTTTCTACTTTAACCACTAGCCTACCGGGCACTTATACCCCCTTCCTGCCCAGGCCAATTTCCAGCTTTCAGCGCTGTTGCACTTGAATGACAATTGCGCAGTCATGCAACACTGTACCCATATGAAATTTTTAAAACCACTGAATATTTAAAAAAAAAGTTTTAGTTTGTTATAAAATGTTGTAAATAAGTGATTCTCCTTCACTGATGTGCACTAATGAGGCTGCAGTGATGGACACTGAGGATTGACAGGCATCACTGATGGGCACTGAAAGGCAGCACTCATGGGTGATACTGAAAGGCAGCTCAGATGGGCACTGATAGGTGGCATGGATGAGAGCTGGCACTGATGGACACTGACAGGTGGCGCTGCTGAGGCTACACAGATCATCAGTGCTCTGATCTGTGTACATGTCCCCTCCGAGGAATGACTATTACTGGCTCCCCTCTGTCAGCGTGACAGCTCGTGGGGAGAGAAATGCCGATAACTGATATTTCCCTGTTTACATGTGATCAGCTGTGATTGGATACAGCTGATCACATGACCAAGCTGACATCTTCGGCTCTTTCCATGGATCGGTGATCTGCTGTGTCCGAGGGACACAGCACACCGCCAATCGCCACACGCTCTGGGAGCCATGCATGCGCGGTTAGAATGGAAGGACGTCATATGACATCCTCCCAGAACGAGAGAACCACCTTGTGTCCATCATTACTATATGGCAGACGGAAGGCAGTTAAGAGACCAACTCCACTTACTCCCATCAACCACCAAATTAGACTCAGCAACTGCTACACATGCAAACCTGCAACATACTTGGACCAAACAGCTCAAAACCAATGATAGCTGTTGACCAGAAGTGTCTTGACGCCTCACCCCACACTAGATTGTATTCTGTCTGATCACTGTATAGGCTTTGAGTGTTTCTCCAGTTCTGTTTTACTTGTCCAATAATATTTACTCTGAAAAACATACCTTCTGATGTTCCCTGTAATGGCGAGTTACGGTTCCGTGGGCTGCCTCAGCTTCAATAGTTTTTCCATCAGGGCACACCAGGACAGAAGTCATCATTCCAAGGGAACCAAATCCTAAAGAAATAAAAATGCACAATTTGTGTTCATGCAACAAACCAATCATTTTGAATGCCCATTAGCTGGGCTGAGTGATCTGTGTGGATGGCAGTGGGACAAGCCCCATTCTCTCATGCAGGAGACTCCCAATTAGTCTGTAAGCCACAAGAGGGGGTGGTGACAATTTTTTTTTCAATGTAGGAAAGCTGAGAATTTCAGATGCTTGGCTGCTCCTCTTGGCCAGACTACAAATGACTTCTGCTGTTATGCTGTGTGAGGTAGACTGGTCATTTCAATTTTGATTTGTCTGGGGTTTACAACCACTTAATGTACCTGCCTTACTCATGTAATCTCCTTGTTACTCTACATGGCCATGGAAGATATGCCTCTTAAACTTTTCATGTTTAGCCTGGACTAAGCCATTGTTCTCTTCAAGAGGAGATAAAACATGGCAAACACCAAGTCCATTCTATTTATTTTGTTATTGGAAATCTTTATAGATTTAACACAAACCACACCAATATATAAAAGCATTATAACTGCATAAAAGGAAAACAGGAGAGGTCACTGTCAGGAGCTCACCAGCAGTATTCACTGAAGCGCAGAGCTGGCTTGTTTTACATTAAAGTGGAAGTCAAGCTACCGATATTTACCTATAGGCAAGACTGATTTTTGCCTATAGTTACAGTAAAATGTATTCACTGCTTACTTTTGCAGCAGCCAGTGATGTCACCAGCACATGCGCTCAGAATGGCATACCCGTGCCATTCTTCCAGAACAGCTGTTCATGAGCGGGAGTGATATCGCAACGCAGCCAATCATCATACGGCTGAAGCCCATGAACCTGGAAAGACTGGGTGAAGATTAAAGCACCATGACAGTGCACCACTGGAGGTCTTCGGTTTCAGGCACGTGTCAGTGTGCCAATATGCGGTACAAACTAGTACATTATGAAGAAAACCACCCGGGAACCCCTTTTTTTTTTCTTGGGTGCAGTTTACCATCAGTTTAGGAAATGAAAAGATGGTATCGCTATCTGGTGCCTTTTGTTTCCTGTGAATGGTGAGCATGGGAAAACCTGCACAAGTTCCAGGAGGGAGGAGAGGAACTTTCTGGAATGATAGACCATGTGTACGGACCTCTATGGTGCGAGGTCTTACCCCATTTTGAGGGTTGGTAGAAGCTGGTGTTGATACAAAATCATATGTTTGCACTAGGATTCCCTCAATGGTGGATTGGACATTCTATGAATTTCATCAGACTTCATTTGATGCACTGTACATTAACTTTACCATGCACCCCATGCATGCACCATCCACTATATTCATTATCCTAACATCTATTGCTTGTGAAAACCGCTATAAAACCTGCACAAGTTTATATGCTTACCCCAACTACAAATACATTCAATCCCAATCAGTGAAAAGCAGATCACAAATGCACCAAAGTGCTAATAGTCATTTAGATGAAGGTTTATCATTTAATGTCCAATACATGAACTTTTTTTTTATTAATGAAATAAAGTGTCCATCCACTGATTTTTCATTCACTTGTGTGTTCAACATTTGTGTAAATTCCACTTGCTGCTGATTCACCACCACATGCATTAAAATTGAAGGCTTACCAGATCCATAATTCATGCATATCCCAAAATCAAGGAGGAAGCAGACTACACCAGTATTTTTTTTGAATGAACCAGTACGACAATACACACTTGAAACAAAGATACTTCCCATAGCGTAGCAAATTTTATTAAGTATACAAATTTTATTAAGTATACAAAAGTTAAAGGATAAAAAACACACATTCATATTTACCAGTGCAGTGGAAGTAAATGGAATTTACACGTGTTTGGCACATAAATGGATGGAATGTTATTTATGGACACTTTAATTTATGAAATGTTGATTTATTGGACATTTAGATTAATGTTTATCATGTAATATTAGCACTTTGGTGTATGTGATATGCTTTTCACAGATAGGGACTGAATTTGTAGTTTGGGTGAGCGCTTTAGAAATTTTGACAGTAGCTTACACTGTAAAGAGCTGCTTCCAATTTTTTTCTTTAGGTTTGGTGTAGCACCCCATTTGATTGAACCTTATACATAAAGTTTATATGCTTGATTAGCACTTAACAAAACCTACCTTGAGCAAGAATATCAGACTGGACATCTCCATCATAGTTCTTGCACGCCCACACAAAGCCTCCAGAGGATTTGAGGACCTGTGCTACCATGTCATCAATAAGCCTATGCTCGTACCAGATCTTCAGCTTATCAAAATCTGGCTTGTAGTGTCTGCAGAGAAACACGGGATCTTTTGTTAGGATTGTTACTTATTTTGCAAGTTGTTAGTTCCTGCATGCTTCAGTTTTAGAATAAAAGTTTAACGTTAGCTAAATGCAAAAAACTTAGTTCTGGATAGAATGGAGAAGGATTAGAACACCTGTCAGGTTTTTATTGCTGTCTGTTTTCCCATTGGGGAGATTCAGCCCGTTTACCTTTATGACCAAAAGTGGGGGGATCCCAATTTTGGGTTTTCCTCAGAACAGTAAGAGGAAATCTTCCAATGGGGACACTAGTTTTGAGGGCCAGATTCCCTCACTTGAGAAATTTGGTCACTTCCTGTTGTGACTATGGGACAGAAAGTGACGGGGGCTAATCCTCCCTTATCTATCCAAAATTTAAAGTTTTGCCTTTAGCTATAAAATGAAGCCTGTGCCCAAACTAGTTCACTTCAGTATAGTGGTTTTGTATGAGCAGGGTGGCTCAGCAACCTGTACATACAAGACCTGCAGTGCATTTAAAAGAAATATGTAGAACAGGCAAAAAATGCAAACTACCCAAAAATAGTACTAGATTTCCAGAAGTGACACAAAGTAGTGAATAAAAACTGCTAAAGCATAAAAACCAAATCATTTTCTCTTAAAATACCAAATCTACTTAATACTTCCCCCTTCCCTTGAGAATTACACATATTGGGAATGCAGTGTTCCTTTCTGGCTACATTCTTCCACCAATGTCTCTTTAAATCACTGTTTGAGGGCTGTGTTGCCATCTTGCACACCATTTTCTGGCTCTGCTTACCCTTCCCTGTAGTTACCCCATGTCCCTAGAAACTAAGCAACTCATTCACTCCCTTATAATATCACGACTTGGACTACTGTAACTCCCTCCTCGCTGGCCTACCCCAACACAGGCTATCCATGCTTCAGTCTATCCTGAATTCTGCAGCCAGACTCATCCACCTTACTAACCGCTCCATATCCGCCACCCCCCTCTACCAATCCCTCCACTGGCTTCCGATTGCCCAACGCATAAAATTCAAATTACTAATATTGATGTACAAAGCTGTTCATAACGCTGCCCCAAACTAAATCACTGACCTGATATCCATATACCACCCAAAACGTACTCTCCGCTCCTCACAAGACCTCCTACTCTCTAGTTCCCTGGTCTCCTCCTCCCATGCCCATCTCCAGGGCTTCCCCCATCCTCTGGAACGCACTACCCAAATTGATCAGACTGTCACCTACCCTTCTCACCTTTAGGTGCACCCTGAAAACCCACCTCTTCAGAGAAGCCTACCCCGCCCTCACCCAATTGCCAATCTCCTCCACTCTTCCTACCACTCCATCCCTCACAGCCATTTCCTCCTGTACCACTATCCCCCCTCCCTCCTAGATTGTAAGCTCCAAGGAGCAGGGCCCTCGAACCCTTCATGTATTGTAACTGTACTGTCTTTTGTATTGTCTCCCATTGTAATGTAAAGCGCTGAGCAAACTTGGCGCTATATAAATACTGAATAATAAACTCAAGGGTTATGCATTCATATTAATCTACATTCAGCACCTCACTTCTGTCCCAGGTTAGCAGTGCATCAATATACCGATTAGAGTAACTCTGCCTGTCAAGTGGACTAGCTGAACAGAGTACATTTTAGTTTTAGGGTATCAAAATTAAATGGTCACCAAGATATGGGACAATTCATATCCAGCCAAGTAGACCCTTCACTACATAGAGGTTAGTAGTGTAATCTGAGGTCAGACAATGAAAATCAAAAATGCCAACATTCTGAATTCTCAAAGAGGGTCCCACTTGTTAATCTATAACAAGAACGCAGGCCAAAACATGGAAATGATAAACAAGCTTAAGGAGAGAGGTCTTTAATTAAAGAAGCAATTCTGAACTTACTTTTCGAAGATCTCTTGGAAGATGTCCTTGAACCTGCCATCATAAGCCTTCAAGATGGTGTTCTTTGTACTCATGTACAGAGGCCATTTCTTTTGAATAGCATACTGGAAGCAGCTATGTGCAAAGCCAGAAATGGACTAGAAAAGGGGGAAAAAAAAAAATGTTACAAGTCAATATACAGACGTATTCATCCTCAGTTACTAGAATACATGGTTAAACTCCTCCTGCTTTCCCCTTTTAAAAAGTTCTGAACACCTGGGGAGAGGACGGATCAGCAATCATGTGACCACCGATTTGCTGTCAGTGGTCAGATGACCTGGAGCCAGGCCTACTGGCTACCAATTGTTAGTCTGGACCAAGAGCAGTTTAACCGCTTTTTATCTGTGCTGGAAGAGTGCCTTCACAGCACAGAAACATTGGCCACCAAGCAATGTTTAACCCAACACCAACCATATGCATGTGTGGCAGCACAGCACGGGTCAAACAAGTGTACAGCCAGTTTAGGATGATCAGGAGCTTGTGGGGAAAGCTCCTGATCACCCACCGAAAACAGCAGTCACATCAGAGGCCTGTATACCACCTCCACCATTACAAACTTTAAAAAGGCCAGCTCTGACCAGCGCTATAAGGATTTAACAAGATTCTTTCCAAGCAAAAAATGTCCATATGAAAGTCATCTTTACCTCATCTGTGTTATACATTCCCATGCCAACACCTCCTGCAGGGAATTTGAACACTTCCCATTCCTTAGCAGCGGTACCATCAGCTGGGTTGAACACCAACTTGAATGTTCCAGCTTTGTCAACACAACAAAGTCTGTAGCTTTGTACTAGAAAGAAAAGCATGTAAAGGCAAATGAGCAACATTAAAAGCGACAGTTAAAAAAGGGGGAAAACAAAAAAACCACCACACAAAAAACCCAACAATCTACCTGGTCACCATGTGCATGTCTGCCAATGGTGATTGGCTGCGTCCACCCAGGAACCAAGCGTGGAATGTTCTTGCAGATGATTGGCTCACGGAAGACTGTTCCGCCCAGTATATTTCTTATTGTTCCATTGGGGCTCTTCCACATCTTCTTCAGCTTAAATTCTAAGACAAAGATTGCCAGGTAAATTAGTCTAACATACCAAGAAAGCAAATGGGTCACGTTTTTGTTTAAGTATATATCCAAAAAATCTGACAAAGTAGGAAAAGTTGAATGGGGACAGGTTTTTTTTTTGCCCTCTAAGAGGAAAGTTAAAGCACCCCAATCAGACAAACTGCCACATCAGGTTCCCCCCACCCCATGTTCGAATTACGTTTTTGTTAACCCCTTCTGTCTAAAGAAAGGCAACAGGACTAACTGGTGACTGCAATGCACACCTCAGCGTTGTGAATACCTGCACCCCTGCCATGTGCTGTGTTCATTCGGCAAGCTAGCAGGTCACTACAGAACATTGGAGCTTTCAGAACCCATTTGTAACATGTATTCAACACCTCCAGCATCAAACACCTCCAGCTGCCAAAAAGTAGTGGCATTTCAAACACCAGAAAATGACAGCTTCACTTGCAGATTTGTATTTTACAAGTAACCCCAGGGTGACAGGCTCACTAATTACAAACAGCAATGCTCTTAAGCACAGATACAAATGTTAGGTAGAACACTGTAGAGATGAGCTGGGGTGTGTCAATGAGTTCTATGTTTAGGCATAGCAGGTCACAACCTCGTATGGAAAGCAGATAGGCCTCAGATGCAGACAGACCATCTGCCATTCTGTAGACAGATAAAAACATGAATTATCCAACACCCACTTGACTAGGCTGCATAAATGTAGAACTTTATTTTGAACTGTTCCTTGAACTTGAGTCATATGCTTACTCTACCTGGCCACAGCTCAGTGGATTGCTTTTAAAAGTCCTGGAATCTTTCTTGGATACACAGATTATTAACTGGATACTAACATTTATAGGTAAAGTTGATCCTGGGAAAATCTGATTGCCTCTCGGGGGATCAGGAAGAAATTTCCCCTGCATGAGCAAACTGGATCATGCTTTGCTGGGGTTTTTTGCCTTACACTGTCAATTGTGGGTATATGATTAACTTTTTTGTTAAACTGGATCTACTTTTGTCTTTTCAGCCAGACTATGTAAAAAGTAGAAGCAAGAGGTCAAAGGACCAAAGACACTAATCGGTATAGGGCTTCTTTTACTATAATGTAAAAGATGCACAGCATGCTTGCACAATTAAGGTCACCATACATGTTACAATCTGACCAATCAACTTATTTATCAAAAACTACGCAATATGAGGACCTATCAATCCAATTCCAATCAGATTGGCCCCTGCACTACACTGTTGGCAGTACATCCAAAGATTGTATAATTAGATTGTAAAGTGTGGGGAGCGTCACTTGTCAGGAAGTCACTCCTCCATTGGCGACCAGTTGGGGCTCCCCCCTCCTGTACCTATTACTGCCATCTACTCAGCTAGATCCCACTGTACCTCTCAGGCACTGGATGGACTAACTCCATCACGCATGCACTGCATTGTATAAAAATGGCAAGGAACAAGTGGAAAGCTTATCATGCAAGACAGTTACAGTAATCTAGATGTTTGCAAAAGGGCACATTCTGCAGGATTTTAGTTCCACTGTCACTCATTTTTAAAATTCAACTCAAATGAAATGTGATGCTCCCATGTCAAGTCAGATTGTGAAAAACCCTTCCCGTCTACAACCCAGAATATGCTGCACAAGATTTTACCTTCCACTCGAGCTTCGTCAGGAGTGATGGTGGCACACTTCACAGAAACATTGTACTTCAAGGTGGCCAGAGCAGAGTCAATGGTGACCTGGTCATTTGTTTGGTCACGGTATGGAAGCCCAAGATCAAAGTATTTCAGTTCAACATCAACATTGGACAAAATCAACTACAAAAAAAAAAAAAAAAAAGGAGAAAAAAAATGCTTTGTGAACGGCAGTAGAAAAGGTACAGTGAGGGCAACAACTCAGTCAATGCTCAATAGGTTTATATAGCGGAAGACAAAACTTTTGGGTGGCCACTTATGGGGGAATCAACTGCCAACTTGTACCCCAAGATTCCAGTGTATTTGCTCAGCCTGACTGGTGCCCATTCATAGAGAAGGGGAAAAACATGCCAAAATATACCAGGATCAGACACCGCCAAACTACCTTCAAATTTTGTCCTGGAATATGTATAACAACATTTCTCAGGTCCGATGAATCACACATTGAGGAGTTTGTACCTTCACTTTCCAGTAGAGTACAGATAGTTTTATAACATTTAATTTCTGCATCAAGACAGTTCATGTATCCTCACAGGTTGCCTGTTCGCTCTTTCCTTAATTGCTGAAACACATAATGACCCAACCACTTGAACACAGACTATGAGCAGGTAGGCTGTCACAGTAGATGACATGCAATGTCTTCTGCAATGAACTGCCTGTTCGCAGTCTTCTGTGGAATGTACACTTAGCTGTGCAAGCAGAGCTCACTTTACATTCTGGCACATACCTGTGTGCCAGGATAACTGAATGGACGTCATCCCGTGACTACCACGAAAAACAGCCGCAGCCTGGAAGAAGCTGGCAGCATGCGTCGTCAAACAGTTGACAAGGCCAAGATGTTTAGTTCCACTTTAAGGGTACAGTCTGCTCAGATCCTGAAACCCAAGAATTGAGGTAGTTTCAGCTGTACAACGATCTGAACACATTCAGGGGAGTTCAAAAAGCACTTCCAACAGTTTAGATGCTATGGCCCTTTTAAAATGGTCTGCATCAGAGTAAAAACCCCTACTGATATGGTTAACTTTATAAAGCGATCTGCTGCAGGTGTTGGTAAAGTGGCACGATTAATGCATCAAATTCACAAGATTCCCTCCAATTCATAGACAATGAAACTTGAGGTAATCAAGACAAACACTAACTGCGTACAGAAACAGGCAAGAGTGCCTTTCCTTGTATGCAGTGCTGACCATTTGCTGCCCCTGCCCTCCCAGTCACTGGTTTAGGATGCCATTCATTCTCAGCCGACAGCCTCTTAACCAGTACTGCTGTAGTGAGCATGGCCTGATGGGAAAGTTCTAGTTGCTCTACAAATCTGCTCTTGCCTTGTCATTGCCAGCAGGTGATTCTAAAGAAAATAGCAGGCTGTCTATTGGCTAAGGATCTGCCAAATGACAATCATAATAGGAGTAGACCTGATGGGGAACCAGTGTCTGAATCCCCATCAGGCTCCACCTCTGCAACAGGTACATGACTATCGCCTACACTGGCATTTGTCATACAGAGGTACATCTAAAGAGTATGAATTCCCGTGATTGGCTGCTGAGCACTTCACGCTAGTTAGAGGCACACTCCTATAGGCACATGCTCCTATGGGAGATAATCAGCATAAGACAGACCGTGTCGGCAGGGGGATGTCTTACTGTACTGTGTGAAATGTCCGCATTTAACATGGTCACTACAATCACCTAATTGAACATAGCCAAACGCTCACCTTTTCCTTGATAAACTCCCAGATGATACGGGTCATCTCATCCCCATCCATTTCCACCACCGGGTTTGCGACCTTGATACGTTTGTCTGCATCTGTAGATAGAGAACACAAACCTTTAGTCCATTTATTAGGTCAACACCAAACATGACAGGGATAGGTCTGTATACATTACAGCACATTGCTCATAACAATGAACAGGATTTCAACTGTACTAGCTCTCCCATCTGCCGGTATTGTCAGGAGACGAAAAAATTACAGAATATTCTATACTGGGCTGTAATAAGCAGTTAAAGGTTTATATTGTTGCTGACCAGCACAATCGCATTATCCTACACATGTATGTACCTGTAATAAAGAGCTAAGCAGTTACGTCTTTAAAGGTTATAGGAGTATTTAAAGTGGAAATTCACCCTAAATGTGATCTTGTGCTGCCCGGCTTCCTCACCTCTCCTTACAAATGGGATTTTTTGCCATGTACTTTGTGTTACAAAGGCAGCACTTCTGCAATTCTTGCCTAGACAATCTCCCTGCACGTGCCGAGACGTGGCCCAAGGGAGCCCTGTGACATCTGTGCACAGAGACTGCTACAGGGGCAAGTTTAAAACCTTCCCTTTGTATGTGTATGGAACATCTCCGGTGTGCAGATGCACCAACAGGCTCTACTGGGACCAGAACCCAATCGGTGCATCTGCTAATGTGCAGTAGTGCACCAGAGGGGTGAAACCTTACACAGTAGGCACACAAGTCAATGGCGCCAAAGAACTGAACAACAAAACAGCTGACATTTTCAAGTAATCAAGTCGTCTTTCTCCTGCCTTGTCCCAGAAAGATCTTACTGTCTAGATTGCACAATTTGTCATTCTCCATGGCCAGGCCTGTGCTCTAAACCCTCCATCCCATTTCTAGGAGGTTAGTCCAGCGCACATTTGGAACAGGGACAGGCAAGTACAAGACTAAGGGGGGTGGAGGGGATGGGGTCTACAAAGGAACTGCACCAAAGTTCCTGGTTGGTAAACTAGTCCTAAAGAAAACATGACCTGACCTAAAGGTTTTCCATGTTAAACAGCCCTGAAAAGGCATTTTGCCCTATGTAAGCAAAACCAGTTAGTTTCCAGATCTATCCCCGACCAGGCTATATAAAAAGGCAACGTCTGGAGTGAGTACCCAGCAATAAACTGTCAAAAATCCATTTACTAGTAATGTAGTGCAAGCTGCAAAATGGACACTGGCACAGCATCCCAATGTCAATACTAGATTTGGGGAATACCAGAATCCTCAATTTGTTGAACAGCTGAAAGACCAGTCTCCAGAATACATTCCGGAAGGCCTCCACTAGGAGTGGATATCCTGGAACCCAGAATTGCACAGAATGTCATTGAACAGATGACTGAAGCTGGCTCCATAGACAACATCCTGGCTCCAGATATTTACATCACTATGTAGTGGACAGTTCCTCAGCCAGCATTAGTATTTGGACGACAAGTGCAGCACAGTAGACTTTCTGCAAATTGCTTCTATATGTAGAACCTTTTCATACCTGACATTACTACAAAACTGCTTTGGCAGTGAAAGTGATTTAGCCCTGAAGATTAATTCAGCTCCTTAAAGTGTAGTCTGAAGGCCAATTTCATGTCACATCTGTGCAAACTCACTTAGTTTTATTGCAATTTATTAACACCAATTTTGCATTAAAATACAACACAATGAGGCTGTGCAGAGTTTAGATTTTCCAGAAATCAATGTTTTGGAGTAACAGGCGGTACACTACAAGCTCCTGCAGTGCAGTTTGCAGTAAAGTTCAGTGGAGCCAGCAGATGTGTAGGAGCAGCTTTTGTGCTGGATGTTCACCATCTCCCTCCCCACAGGTGGGATAGTAGAATCCAGGAAACATGGCGAGAGGCACCCATTTGGGGAGCATGAAAATGGCTCCCGTTGATCTCTTGCTTTCATCCGATCTGAAAGCGGTCAGCTTGGTGGCATTTGCATGCATTCCCAGCTGCTGCAGCAGCCTGGAAGGTGTAAGGCCTCCTCCTGTCAGCACATGACATGGTAGGAGCTAAAGGGCTAAAGCAATACTCCAGGCACACAGCTAACTAGAATTGAAGTGCAGACAACTACTTGCTCTAGGATCCAACTCTGTACAAGATCTAGAAACATTTCACAGTTGTAATCTGTAGGTGCTGGGGTAAGAATTTTAAGTGGTTCTCCTGGGCAATATTTTATTGTGCTCAACATTCACTAAAAATGCTGAGGGTTTAAAGTAGGACTAAAGGCTTTTTTTGGATTAAAGGAGGGTTATAACCCCATTAGATTTTTTTGCCATTGGCATCTCACTGGGGAAATTAACATTCACTTCCAGTCCCATTGCCAAAACAGGAAGTGAGGTAATCCCTGCAAAGAGAATCCATTGAGGCTCCCCAAGTCATCAAACTGTGTCCCCATTGGAACAGTCCCCCCCTCCCCCCACTCTTCTGGGGTCAACCCAAAATTTGGGATTTTTCACGGTCAATGGTAAACAGGACAAAGCGGATGAATCTCACTAATGGGGGCCACAGACAGCAAACAAAACAAAGTGTACTAATCCCTCTCCACCACCCAAAAGTTTTGCCTTTAGTTACTTTAATGCCTAGCTTGCCGCAGAAAACTGGTTAAGATAAGGTGAGCGTTTAATGCCCCTTACTGAATTTCATGAACCCACCATAAGATGTCCTATTACTGTTAGTGGGAAAAGGAAAGCGAATTCTGGAACCTTTGATGTACAATTGCTTTGGTAACGTGAACTAGAGCCACAGATTCTCTGTACTAGTGTTCACAAGTTTCCTCACCAGCATTAACTTCTGGCTGCCGGGTCTTCAGCTCACCTTGATTGTCCAGCATGGGATGTGCAGGAGTTCATTCATCCCGGCACAAAGGCACTGTGCCAAGTGTATACCCCATGCTATGCTAATGCAGCTCAGAATATTCTGAAGACTGGGAACAGACAGGCAAGCTATATTATAAGACATAGAATGTCTTCTGCAACAGCCTACCTGCTTCCACAACTAAGCCAGTCATACAGGGATCAGCGTTGGGCTGGTCCAGCAGGAACGGACTGAATTTCAATCCATGTATGATGAGAGTGGTTGTACAAACGTCAATCTACCAATAACTGTACAACCACCCTGTTGGGTTTTCATGAGCAGCGCCACCAGTTGGCAGTACTGATCTGTGTATTCTGCCAGCAGGGAATTTGTCTCGCCATCAGAACACAATAGCTCAGCAGGAGTGATTCCCCCACCCACAGAGTGTGGACAAGAGGAATCAGATCATTTTTTGTTTCAACCAGCTGCCGGGTGAATATTTATGCAAAACATGGTCCACAAACTGATCTGTCAAAAGATTTAACCAGTTAAGGCAGGTGACTCAACTATTTCTCACTTTGCTTTAGGGCTTGTTCACACCAGCAAGCTGGGCTGACAGGAAACCATTCTGATATGCTGAACCCGGTGAACTGCAGTTTAACATACCTTTAATGTCACAAGCGACATTCATTTCTATTGCCAGCAGCACAGTGCCAGGAGGTGGACTGCATTGCCCCACATTGTGCTGAACTGCCATGCAGTACTTGGCACCCACTACAGCAAAGTGATGGTGTGTGAACTGGCCCCATGCCTTGTCTTTCACTGGGACTGTGCTGGACTAGCCTGCCTAGTGCACCTGGTGTGAGCCAAGTCCCTCTGGTGTGAGCCAAGTCCCTATAGCTTCCTGCATCACCAACTTGTTTGCTGGGTATAGAAACTAACAGAAAGATGGAGGTTCATTCTGGTTATGCTTCAGGTTACAAGGTAGTCTGGCCCATCCGTGTCAATTTCTGCATTTGTGGGCACATGGGAGTCACAGCATCCTGCACTGGCCAACAGCCTTTCAAAATCCATGACTGGCTGCAATATGCAGAAGGATGCTTTACCGAGCAGAAGCATTCAGGGACACATGACCACAAGCCTCCTGGGTGCCGGATATGCCAGAATTTGACTCAAACAGGCCTCATGTCCACGTGTACGAAGCCCAAGACATATGATGAACACGGTTACACTAAAGTGTCTGCAATATGGTGACATGGCAGAAATCCCAAGAGTGACAGCGATGCAAATCCTGCATTCTGTAGAAGACTTCACAATTTCCACTGTAGATTCACCGATTTTCCTGGAGGTGCACTTTCAAGCAAAACTATATACTCTACTCCAGCATTGATATGGGATGTCTGAATCCCCTTGCAGGTCGCCAACATCTTCACCAAGTTCTTCCAGACAGCATCCAGAGCCATTGTAACTGTGTATACCAGGATGATGCAACTTCTGCGCATGCGTGGGAGTTTCTTGGTAGGCGCCAAGATTGTACACCATAATCAGGTCAGCAGCATACATTGGGAACAGGCAGGTAATTCTCTAATTGCAAAGAAAAATTAATGATGTATGCAAACCTAACTTTGATGTTAATTCTACTTCAACTGTCCAAATTATAGGAATGGGATCTGTTCCAGCTGTAATCTTCAGTGATGACTTTTCCAATACAAAACCATTAACCCCCCATTGTCCTCATGTTGTACAGATGTGCCCTTACAGTGCTTCATATGTACACAACATATAGAGAACTGCTATGACTACAGAATTCTGTCCAAAAGCCAAGAAAGGTTGGGCTCAGGCAAGTTTTGGGGGGGGGGGGGGGGCTGCTATACAGGGTTGCCTTAATGCATGACGGTGAAAACCTTCAGCTTTCACAAATGTAAAGTGATAAAGTTAAAAACATTTACCATAATGCATTGCTGCTGTCAAATTCAGCAATTTCTGCGTGCATGGGTAAAAAAAAAAAGCAACGATTTACCAAAGCAATTGCGCTGCTGTCAAATTTCCTCTCAAGTTGAGAAGTAGGGGTGGGGCCAAGTCCTGCTGTGCAAGTCTAGGGATCGTGGATCCGTAAACAGTCGGGGCGCTCGCAGGCACTATGTGCATCCATAGCAAACTGCTTGCTATAGGGACACAAAAGGAGCCAAGATCATCGGTGCGGGACCAGAGAAGAGGATCAGGACACTCAGCAATACCACTGCACAGAGCAG